TCTTCCGAGTTCTATATTTGGCTCAGCTAGAGGGATATTATTGGCTAGGATTGGGACTTAAGAGATCTTGTTTCCTCCTTGTTACCAACAGGGCTTGGCTTAGCTGCGAAAACAACATATTATGTTGCTTGGCAAGGTCATCTCTACCCTCTGGACCTTGGAGTCACCAAGTCTCCTTATAGGGCCATGTCAAGATGCCCTTGCGACCACAATCTCCTCCGCGACGCACGCATGGTACCTGTTGTACATGCACTTTCTGAATAATTCCATCACTGAGCCTCGTAAGACATCCCAGCAAGCCTTGAGAATCTTCACTGCAATTTCTTCCATGCCCATTCTATGCATTTAAACCCTAGCTCACCTCGCGTGCCTCGCCTAAGATGTGGCGCACAGGCCTATGGATGGACTGGGCTATAGGAACGTGTGTGGCTCTATTATTAATCCTATTGTCTTCTTTCAAGTCTCCAATTATCAAGTTTGGGTATGTCTTATTGAGCCTATGAATGGCCATTTGACTCCGAAGTGATTTGTACTTGACTGAGCCCTAAAAGCTCTATAGTTAGGGCTGGAGTCTCATCTTTCTCAATTCATACTGTGTTCGGCTATCTAGCTATGACAATCGAGCTTGAGGCTCGCAGGGGACGTCACTGACAAGTGTATAGTGTGTTGAAGCTTTGTTGTTGAGTGAGAGGGATGAGGTAGACGCTTTTAAGTCACGATGTATGAGATAAGTGAGACTTGGATGTATAAGTTCCTTGCTGTTGTGGGGGACTATTCCCAACACCTGTCAGTGTTGTCCCCTACGAACCTCCAGCTCTCACTGAAGAGTCTACAGGGTCGAGATTGAGCATCACCTTTTCAACTTCGAGCTGAGTTATCTCCCCCTCCGTCAAAGATACGCTTCCGATTACACATTAGACGACCAAGACGACGATAATGATGCTGGGAATGAGGAAACATAATGCGGTACCAAACGCTACAACGATAGTCAGAGAAGCCCTCGTTATATCACAATATGAGCTACCCACCGGCGGACAAACAAAAAGCCCACGAAAGCAAAGTAGAAGACCCTTCCGCCCTCAAGAAAAGCAGATTTCGACTCGTCTACAACATCGTCCCTACTAATCTATACCTCCGAATCTACTAGCCAGGAGGGCGTCTGAAATACATGAGTTACTCAACGACCCCACGTCCGCAACGACTTTTGGATGCTAGGCTAGGCTCCTTCGCGACAGTCACTCTCGACAAAGACTTTTCTGACATCGTTTCACGGCCTTTGATCTGTCCTGCGGCATGAATCAGGGGAGGAGTAAAGAGGAGGCTAGGAAGGTCGAGAGACACTCTTAGGTATACACAGGTCTGCTGCCCTCGGCTGGCCGGCCTCTTCGTCCTAGGAGAGCCCCGCACTCAGTGGTTTTTGAGAATTTTCCCTGCAGCTACACACCGGCAAATGGCCATCGTTTCGTTGGCTAGAGAGGGGAGGTAATGACGGGATAACGGCTTCTCCTAGTGTGTACTCGAATGAAGATCTGTGGGTGTATTTCTGCTGGAAAGAAGTCGAGGAGGAGGCACAAGAGGGAGTACACTACCCGAGGCATAGATACTCTTGTACTGTAGACAGAAAGGACCTACATGTCCTTACATATTTACAGACTAATTAGGACAATAAACATTCACTCCTTGCTGTTGTTATTATACCACACTGGGTTTCCTCAATAAATACAAGAGGTTGCTTTTGTCAAGTGGGCCAAAACACTTAGGGCAGCCTAGGGGCTTTCGCCATTCTGTTCCTTCGCCCCCACCTGGCATGACGTGTAATACAACTGCTGCTCACCATGAAGTCCGAGGATGAACAGCGTTAAAGTAAAACAGAGTCTTCGTATCCCGGCTACGAAAAGTAATGCAGAACAGTCAATCAAGTTGCTAGGGTAGTTGCTCCCAGGCCCCCGACATCACGCACCATGCCTGTTGTGACATGAAGAAGCGCTCAACGACACCAAATCACTTGGATATCGAGGCAGATCATGTCCGAGAATGTCTAACGCCAATTAAACACATTGGGACTATTCCTCATCAACCACTGGATCCCTTCTTGGCCAACCGCTGCTAACTGGCCCAGACCTCACAGGCTGAAAAATATGATATTACAGGCTGTCGATTGACGCCGATACATTAGGGATAAATAGCTGAATACAATGCGAAGATGATGACGCTGACCCGTAACAGAAGGCTCTGTTTTTTCCTCAATATCGGTATAGCTGAGTTGGAACTGAGGTTTTGGAGCGCAGGGCGATGCCTTGTGGCCCACCGGCTGTACGAGCCACTGATAGATGTTCAGCTGATCTTCATCCATGCGCAACGCTTAGTCTACACTTGCCATTGTTTTGACTGCCCGAAAAACGTTTCCTCATTGACTTGGATTGCTGGGAAGAACCTGTACGACTAAAGGCCTTGTCACTGCGAGCCTAGTCGAGCGGATCATCTGATGCTCACGCCGCATGGACCATGACGATATGTCTGCTGTCTATGATAAGGGACATGGCTGGATGCGCCATCTATATACCCTACTGCCACAGTGTCAAGTTTGCAGTGGGGCTTTATCAGGATTTTTTACGTGCTCTCTAAGACTCTTTAGGAATAGTCACCTTCCATATTGGGGTTAGCCCCCGTATTTGTGCAAGTTTTCGAAAAAAGTTGTATGGCAGTTTTTTATCTGGAAACCATAGTTTGCGGTGGGTCTTTCCTTCGGACTAAACCTAATTTGTATAATGATCGGCTGCATAATATTGGCGCATTTTTGCAACCTGAATTTACAAGTTATTTACAAGAGTTCAAAGATTTCGAACTACAAAACAGAACCCCAGTCTTATCCTAACCTTGGATCTGAACTTGTGGCTGGTATATTTTCAGGCCTTAAAATCTGCTCATTCCCCAACCGTATCTATCTCAGCCTGACATCTTGCTGGCATACTCTCAATGAGTCTCACAAGATCTTTGGGAGATGTGGAATCCCGTGCCTCCTTTAGGATATTGCGAAGACTATCTAGAGTACGCTACTTCCCGCCACCCAGATTCGGATGATGACGCTGGATATAATCCTTCATCCTATTCCAAACAGCTTCAATCGGCTTGAAATCAGGCGAGTAGGCCGGCCAGAAAGTCGGGTTAACTAGCCTCTAGCTCATATCTTCCATCGTAAATGCTACTGCGTGGGCAGGAGCATTATCCTACATTGCGGAAAGCCAAGGTCTCATCGAGACCATGCCATCGATAAGGGGAACCATTTTCTCGCAATATTTGAATCAAGTAAATTTCTCTAGTTTAACGTCCTATGCAGTATCTATACACAAAACCATGAAGACAGTGAGCCGCTTTTGTAAGGGAAAAAAGTTTCAACAAAAAAAACCCAATGTCCTGCCACTCTGAACTGACCCGGCTTAATGCTGAGGACGTTCCTTTCAACCACAAATATATAAACTTTCCCCAGAATTCGTTAACTCCCCCTTCGATCAGACTAACTTTATGAGAGATTAAAGAGAGAAGGCACCTCCTCACTCGGCGTTGGTTGTCAAAGTGTCCGAAGAGTTGGCCCCGATGGTGGTGCGGTCGTGGGGATGGTTGGTGCCACTGGGGCTTCGACTACCTTACGTGGTCGTCCCGGCCATCTTTTGAATCCTCCAGCCTTCTTACTGGTGGCTAAAGTAAATCCCCGATCATTAGTCGTTCCGACTGTTCGTATTGGCGCCATTGATGGTTTTTCGTTCCATATTTCCGCCGTTCGCGATAGTAGCTCCATCCGAGCCTTCTCCATACTTTCCTTATAGTCTTAATACGTCCGACACGCTGCTTTTTGCTACGACCGGTGTTCTTTGCCACTATTTGTACGAGAAACCCTTTTCTTCGGACAGTCCCGAGTTTGGTGAGAGCCAGCGCACTCACCGCACCTAGCTGCCTTTCCACACGACGCCTGGGTGTGTCCCCACTAGCTGCAGTTGTAACACTGCTTAGGCTGGGCTCGTGATGACCACACCTGAGCGGTGAAGAGCATGGCGTTGATGACAAGGTCCTGTCGAGCTACCACCGTTTGTATTGCCTCCGATGGAGGGCTGACCACAATTGATCCACGATTGCGACCGTTTTTCTTCGATCGCTTGTGGACCTTTCTGTCATGGAGCCATCGTATTCTGTTTATAACCAGGCCTGGAATTTGTGCCTTCGTCGCCGACTCAATCTCCATGATGATAGAGTAGTTGTTGGCTTCTCTGTCACATTCTATTCTTGTCCGCAGTGGGACTCCGGAAACCTCGACGGGAAAATCTTGCCGTAGAATTTTAAATTCGCTAGGTTGTTGCATATTAAGCGCCGCGTCTCTCTGGGATGCCGACTGGACATAAACCTCGGTGTCGATGCTTCGCATCTATCGAATTGCGAACGCTCCTTCAATGTGTTATTTGGCCCTTGATAGTAGCTCTACCGGCCGCAGGTTTTGTGATCTGTCGATTCTTCTCTTCATCGCCGTTTTCTCCATTTGCGGATCTACGACCGCACATAGGTCTTTGGTGGCGGTTTTCCCGACGACACAACAGGAGCTGCTTGCCGTGCGGAGTTCGCGTGGCTTTTCTTGACGACCTCCTCTAGCGCCATCATCCCCTCCTCGATAGGAGACTTCTTCTGGGACATTTCCGTCCAGACCAATTTGAGTGCATTGATGGCCTTAATGGCCTTGACGGCTTCATTCACGTCTTCCGTTGTTGGTAAGTCCTCCTCATCCTTCTCTCCCATCACTATAAGTCTGACCCTTTTCAATAAAGATGATTTTGTGACCACTGCCAGGCCTAGATTCTTGTCGATGATTTTAAAGAAGTACGATTCGTCTCGTAAAAAATCCCGGAGACTTTTGATCTCTGGATTTCTGAGATGGGCTGATTGTGGTAGATGAGGAGTTTGATTCCGCAATGACTCCCTTACTGCATCAATAGCTTTCTCAATCCTTGAATTGGCTAGTGGAGGTTCCCATTAAGGGATTTTGCATGAAATCTTGGTATGTTGTAAGGATTGTCTGACTTGTCCCGAAATAGTAATCCGATTCTAATAGAACGACACAGTTCTGTTATTGAATCTCCTACAAATTTAGGGTTCATTTGCGCGTGTAAAATAAAATTTCTATTTAAACTCATCATTTGCATAAACCAAGGTGGTAATATCATATATGGAACTATAAAAACACAATTCCGTTGAGTCCTAAGACTGTCAACGAACTGTGTGGTTCCTGTGAGTATACTGAATTTGGGGTTTACATAATCTAGACTTGTGAAGAATGCTTCTGGGTATGAAGAAAAACACTTTAGGTTGAAACTAGTCCTATGTGCTATGTCTAACAGTTTGGTTACTTTCGCACTGGCTTCTTCTTCCAACTCCCTTTTCCTTTTTCTCGATAGTCCTTTTTCACCTTGTGACTTTGAGATTTCGGTTTGAGACCCTTGCGGGATTTTGCCATCATGTGGTGTTACCAATGTCTCTCGGGAGAGAATCATTGAAGTACCTGTGGATTGTTTCAAATTTTTAGAGAGGGCTTTTTTCAAAGCTTTCTCCATTTCGTAAAGGATGGTCTTTGCGATATCAGACGGACTTGTATCAGTCATAGTCACGTCTGAATCGACCTTGTGTTGAAGTTTGAGTTTTTTAACCGCATTTTCTTCCATCCGTTCTTGTCGCGCCAGGGTTAAAGCCTTTTCGCACATCGGATAGCCTATGGAGGACAGCTCGAGCTTTTCGGCATCCAAATAAATTGGAGTTGACTCGGTTTTGTCGTAGTCCAAGACGGCCAATGTGGCATCTGTCAATTCTGTAAGTTTGACATTGAGAACTTCCTTCGACTGTTCCTTGACGAAGACCTCAAGTTCTGCTTTCTTCTGTTGGATGTAGTGCTTCAGAACGGAAGCGCAAAATTCGTTGACTGCGTGATCGAGCCATACTGTACCGGCTTGTCGTTCTCCGCGATTGTTGAAAATCGTAGAAATTTGAATCTTTGGGATTTTAAGTAATCCCAACAGCTGAGGTGGAAATTTCCCAGTTGTCAGATGGTTTTCGAAGTGCTCGATTGCTGATCTGACATTTTGTCGCTTCAGTTCGGAAACATACACTTCCTTCAGCAACATCTTTGTTATGATGTGAGCTGCCAATATTTCCAGACTCAATTTCTAAATTACCAAATTGCTCTTGAGCAGACCTACTCCAACCCCAGAGTTTGTCCTCCAAAATAAGGAAATTTTCAGAGACGACAATTTTGTTGCGGCCCTGCTTCGAGGGCAAGTAAGCGCGGTATTAAGTTGGCGAATCACAATAACCGATAAAAATTCCCTTAAGGGAGGTCGGAGAAAGCTTGTAGCGTTGGGAATCTTCACTGTCTATAAGAACGTACCAGAGACAGCCCCATACTCTTAAGTGGGAAAGGCCAGAAGAAAAACCGTTAAAAATTTCGTATGGAGAAATCTTTTTATGAGAATGAGGAAGACGGTTAAAGATATAACAGGCCGAAGAAATTGCAGCATCCCAAAATCGAAGAGGAAGATGTGCATGAGAAAGCATACACCTAGCCATCGTGACGAGCGTTCTATTTAATCGCCCTGACACTCCATTCTGATGCCACGTATACGGGGCACTCTTTTGATGAGAAATGCCCCCAAAGTTGATGAGATTGTACTCGGTGCCACCATCACTTCGTAAAGCTTTAATTTTCTCACCTGTCTGAAGTTCCTTTGATTCTTTGTATTTAACGAAACAAGAGGGAACCTCAGTGAGACTCCGAAGTAGAAAGACTTCGCTTTCACGTGAGAAGTCGTCGGTGAAACTAACGAATTTATTAGCACCGGGAATATCGGTCGCATGACACCTCCCCCAAGTGTCAGAATGAACTAGCTGTAAAACACTCTTTGGTCAGAGCGAGGGGAATCAACCTGTTTGCAAGAAAGGAAAATATCACAGTCTTTGATTGTCTGTAAATCAGAATTCTTCTCGAAAGAAACTGTCGGTTCATAGGTGAATGTCGTTGGGATAAGAGGCTTATATTTTTTTTTTATATTACTTAACATCGTGACTGCACGCAGTACATGCTTAGAGTTATCACGTGACTGTTGGCTCAACCTAGGAAAAAACCAGACGTGTTAGTACATTTGGGAGCCCAGAATTTTATTTGAAGCCTAGAACATGTTATTCAGAGAAGCCTGATTTCGATATATACTTCAATGAACATTGGTCAATGCATCATGTTATTTAGGTACTAGCGCTTGAGTAAAGAAAAAGGAGGATAGACACAAATACACCGCTTGTTTACTAGCATTTTTAGAGGCATTGAACCGAGTGAATCCGGTTGTTACAACAGACACCTTTATGTCGATCATCTGATTTATTTGGATGTTCTCAAGAAGCGAAGGAATTCCTGCACCGATGCGCACAAATCAGTGATGAAGAAGCCAAGAAATTTTAGATGTCGATTTCGAAGATAGAAGAGTTGAAGAATTGGGTTTAGCATTGACGAAGTCACTGCAAAATAGTCCATTTTTTTACCCTTGCAGTTGCTAAAGAACAATTGTACTCCCCATGAACAGTACACAGCCCACTTTCAGAAGTGTACATTCTATAGCCGTTGAAATACAGTTGAGAGTCTGAGACGAGATTTATGGTACAAGAAGGAAGGTACCGATCATTGTCGAGAGTAATAGTTCTACTTAACGAAATATCAGAGAAGTTGTCGACATCAAAGCTGACTGACCCTGCAAAGTAACTACCACGGCAAGTGTCAAAGTCGGGAAGGTAAGCTCTCATAATGTCATCCCAAGTCTTCAATGTAGGGTCAACATTATCAATCCGCATTTGGCGACGGACTTGCCTTCGGTAAATTTGTCGACAACTCGCATCTTAGCTTTCAGAATTCCTGGATTGAATCTAACATCTTCTTTTCAGCAGTTGATTTTAAGATAAAGTGGTATTGATGCTCCGGGACGAGCGAGGTTAATGCGAATTGTATTTGTCGGTTTTGTCGATGAAGTGGTGAAACCTTGATGCGTTCTAATTTGACGTTGTGGAGTTCCGGTAAATGCTCATAGATGTGAGCTTCAATATAGAGATTAAGAAACCCCCTTTCGACAAGGTCAGACTATCGATTAGATGTAGAGGTTCTCAAATGGGGAGCGCATCGAAGTGCCTTCAAAATCTGGTCGGTAGTTATCTTAAAATTAAGTAAATAAAAGTTCGAGAGAACGAGACTGATCGAGTGACGTCGAAGAAAGCTTGAGCTTAGTACAAGAAGGTAAAGAGTAAAAGGGTGAATGGAAATAATGGTTGGTTGAAGGAAGTTGTGAGAGAGTCTGAAGTATTTATACCTAGAGATAAGCGGGGCGGGTTTGGTCTCATGATCTGTTATGATTTCATAATAAGAAGAGCATAAAGCAAAGCTCAAAGAATATCGCTTCCATTTAAGATCTAACTTACATGTTAAACGATAATTTAATTGTGCATATCCCGGAAGTAAAGCAGGCATGCAAACACCAATTATAATAGTGAAAAATTATCAGCACAGCTGATCACACAATAATCGTGCGGAGAATGAGAAAATTTTTATCCCGCACCATTGGCGCCACCCCTTTTCGCGCAAGGTACAGTCAGACCCCTGCTAAGACGATGTAATTGGGGCCGTGAAATATATCGTCATATGGAGGATATCGTTTAAAAGGATATGATTACCTCATCCAGCTATCTGTGGAAACTCGAGGGACAAAAGACGATTGGCGAGTGGTCAAAAGCTGGCGTGGACTCAAATCATAAGATTCTAAACTAAAGAGAAAAGTACCTAGGAGGATTTTTTTTTTTTTTTTTGCATCAGATTTTAATTGCGTATGCAGCTATCTAGCTATGACACAATATCAAAGAAAAGTACAGAAAAGATGACTCAATTTACAAGAGGAGCACTCATGCCTCGGATTTCATTTGCAAGTACCACTGCGAAGTTATGGCGGCTTTTTCTTCACCCCAAGTCAACCCTCATCCGTGAATACCCACCCAGGGGAACGTCTCAAAAACCCTGAGTTATCCAGACATGCCTCCGTCATCCATCAACTTTTCTCCGCGCGAAATGTAATCTGAGATGTCTCCTTCCCATACCTAGGAGGATATGAATCTGTATATATTTACATAGGAGTTCAACTGTTGAAATAGAGTTGCCAACACGAAACCTCCTGTCCCTCATTGCCTGCAACCCAAGGGTTTCGCATGAAAACCAATATCCATGACAAACCTTTCGTATCGTGATTTGTCACACACAAGACTCGTGTGTGTGAAACTAGTCGTTGGAATTCCTGGATTGACCCTGTGTCGGCTTACCAACTATTGAACCGACGGCCACGTGGCCACTGAAATGTCGGGGCGTCACACTACCCCCCCTTTCTAAAGAACGCTGACCGCAGAGTTCTGTCCATAGCCGAATTATCTTCAAGATAATCATAATCCTCTATTCCTTTTTCCCACGCATCGATCCACCTCGGAAGTGCTACAGGTGGGCCTGGCATGGCGGGGTTTTCGAGATGAAACCGCTTAATTAAGTGTGGGGCGGACATGAAATTAGAAGCGGGGTAATATTCCGGGTCTTCATCAGCCCCCAGCCAGTTCGCTCTGTAATACAATTTTATGTACTTTAATTTACAGGTGCGGATAGATTCAACAACCCATTCTTTATGACCTGGAATTATTTCTAGGGCTTCGGGCGGCGGATTTACCTGTCCTGGTACTGGGCTAGCAGGGTCTTTTCGAAGGAGCTTGGCGTGGAAAACACGATGAATTTCTCCCATCGACGCTGGTAAGTCTAATTCGTATGACCATCCTTTCTTGTTTACTATTTTGAATGGTCCAACGTTTTGATGACCCAGTTTTTTACTAGGCCGGTCTAGAGACAAATTTTTTGTAGACAACCAAACTTTATCACCAACTTGAAAATCTGGTTCACGACGATGAATGTCGACGTCTTTTTGTTTCTTCCGCTGGGCACTCTCCATATGATGACGAACCCATTCCCATGCTTCTTGCATTTGACGAATTCGATTTTTTGCTTCTTCTTGGGCAATAGCTTGACGAGCATTTTCTGGCTTTTGAGGAGCTTTCCAGTCAAAAGATAGGCGAGGTGGATGGCCATGAAGGAGCTGGAATGGAGAGGTATTGATACTATCATGATGTAATGCAAGTTGTGCAAAGTCCATCAGTGGGAGTAGGCGAGACCAGTTATTTTGAAAGTGATTCACAAAAGGACGGAGTCTCAGGTCTAAATATTGATTCATTATTTCGGTCTGCCCGTCGGTTTCTGGATGGTAGGCTGTCGAAAGTTTTCTTTTAACTCCAAGGAGTAAGCAGAGCGTACCAAAAAATTCCGAGATAAACTGCGGGCCGCGGTCGGACACAATTGATTCGGGCACTCCCAGGTGTCGAAAGCAGTGGACATAGTACATTTCCGCGAGATCTTTTGCATTCACAGATTTTTTACAAGGAATGGTGACTGCTTTTTTACTTAGACGATCAATAAATACAGCCACCATATTATGCCCCTCATCATCTTCCGGCATGTCTTTAAAATCAGCACAAATGTGTTGCCAGGGGTGGTTTGGAACTGGCAGCGAATGAAGCCATCCGGGAGTTTTATCGTGGTTCAAGTGCGATCTCCTACAGGGATGGCAATTTGCAACGAACTGTTCGATGAAGCTTTTCATACCTTTCCAATAATAACGCTCTGCTAACAACTTATAGGTTTTCTCGGTTCCCGGATGTGCTGTTGAAGGTTGATTTTGTCCTTCACGCACGAGTTCTGTTCTAATATTATCCGCATCAGGAACCACTAGTCGCCCATCAAATAGTAAAAGATTTTCTTCCAGCTTATAATGTTCTTCTTCTCCGGTTTTAGCAAGATCACGAAGCTTAGTCAGTGATGGATGAGACTTGTTTACATTCAGGAGTCGATCGGCAAGCTCAAACGTCTCGACGAAGGAGATATCAAGAGCTAAGTCTGTGGGGGGGTCTTCAACACTACTTTTGGTTAATAGGGCTCTATTCCGTATTGCTGATTTCATCGAGGCTTGTTGTTTTACGTCTTGTTCACGACGAGACAGTGCATCAGCAG